CTGGTCGGGGAATCGGCGCCATCTGCAGTGTGGCCTAAACTGTGTGCTGCTTGCATGTCTACCGCTGCTCCACCCTCCAAGCCACCCTCCGCCATCGCTACGGCCCAGAGCCCGCCTTATCCTCCGGAAGCTCCGCCCTCGCTCAGGCTGCCAATCCCACATGCACCTGCGGGAATGGGCGGGCGACAAAGTTGCTAAATTGGGTCGGTCCCCATCTGGAGGCCTCTGTTGGGATCTCTAAGAGATTGATCTAGTCTCCCTCAGCCTCCAAAGTGCCATACCACATCCAGCTTTCCCTTCAGTTTCTTTTTAAAAGGGATCTAAGGAGCCGGGCATTGGTGGCAGATGCCTTTAGTCCCAGCACTCGGGATGCAGAGAGAGAGAGAGATATCCAGGCTGTCCTGAAACTCACAGATACAAGCCTGCCAAGTGTGCTGGGATTAAAGGTGTGTGCCACCACCATCTGGTTTAAGATTTATTTATTTTTATTTTATGTGTATAAATGTTTTGCCTGTTTTTACATGTGTGTAGTGCCTGTTGTCCATGTGGGTACTGGAACTGGAATTATGGGTGGTTGTAAACTTTTATGTGAGTTCTGGGAACTTAACCCAGGTCTTTTGCAAAAGCAGCAAGTTCTCTTAATCACTAAACTATCTGTCTAGCCTCTCTCTCTGCATCACACCTTCAAAAGCTCTGAGATTGATCTTCTTCTTGTCTACAGCATATCCCCCACAAAAGTTTCTAATTTCTTTCTTTTTCTTTTTCTTGATTTTTCGAAACATGGCTTCTCTGTGTATTAGCCCTGGCTGTCCTTGAACTAGCTCTGTATAACAAGCTGGCTTTGAACTTCACCTCCTGGCAAATTTAAGATATCTTTTACTTATTCTTTGACAATTTCATACATGTGTACAATGTTCCTTGATCCTACCCATGCCCAACTCACTCTTCTCACTCTGTCTAATTTCTAGTATAGATTAAATCAATGCTTAAAACCCTGTATATTGGGCTGGGCGTTGGTGGTGCACTCCTTCAATCCCAGCACTCGGGAGGCAGAGGCAGGCGGATTTCTGTGAGTTTGAGACCAGCCTGATCTACAAGAGCTAGTTCCAGGACTGCCTTCAAAGCCACAGAGAAACCCTGCCTCTAAAAACAAAAAACAAAAAATAACCAAAAAACCCTCAAAAAACACAGACACACATACAGACCAAACACTCATACACATAAACATTTTTAAAACTCTTAAAATAAAAAAGGTCATGGTGGATTGGATAGAATTTATTTGGTACACCATTTATGTGGCATTTCAAGGTTCTGGTTTCATTCCCATTATCACAATCAACCAACCAACAATCCCTGAAACGTTTTCTAGTGGCACTTGGAATAAAAACCAAAGCTTTGCAGTAGTTTATAAGATCCCTGTATGATGTGGCTCCAGTTCCCCCCTTTTTTTTGCCCCTATGCCACCACATTCTGTGTGGTTACTGGGGCCTTCTCTCTCTCTCTCTCTCTCTCTCTCTCTCTCTCTCTCGCTCTCGCTCTTTTAAAGATTTTATTTATTATGTATATTTATTAGGGCACCAGATTTCATTACAGATGGTTGTGAGCCACCATGTGGTTGCTGGGAATTGAACTCGGGACCTCTGGAAGAACAGTCAGTGCTCTTAACCGCTGAGCCATCTTTCCAGCCCTCTTTTTTTTTAAGAAAAAATTATCTACTTATTTTTATTACATATACAGTGTTCTGTCTGCATGTTTGCCTATACACCAGAAGAGGGCAGCAGATCACATAATAGATGGTTGTGAGCCACCATGTTGTTGCTGGGAATTGAACTCAGGACCTCTGGAATAGCAGTCAGTGCTCTTAACCTCTGAGCCATCTCTCCAGCACTCACTAGGGCCTTCTCTCTACTCCTGAGCCTACCCCTCAGCACTTTGTGCTTGCCTCTTCTATTAGTAAGAATATTCCTAAACTTTCTTATGGCTTGTTTATCAACATTAGATTTCACTTCCAACGTTACCTTCTAAAAACTAGACACAGAAATGCTGGCACTAACAGACATTATAAGTGGACATAACAGATATCTATAGAAAATCTACCCAAACACAAATGAATTCACCTTCTTCTCTGCACGTCATGGAACTTTCTCCAAAGTTGACCACATACTCAGTCACAAAGTAAATCTCAATAGATACAAGAAAATTGAAATAACCCCTTTTAGCTTATCAGATGACCATGGGTTAAAGTGGATATCATCAACAACAGAAACAATAGAAACCCTACAAACTCATAGAAATTGAATAACTCTCTACAGAATGAAAAATGGGTCAGTGCAGAAATTAAGAAAGAAATTAAAGACTTTCTAGAATTCAATGATAATGAATATACAACATACCCAAACTTATTGGAAACAATGAAAGTGTGGTAAAAGCAAAGTTCATAGCACCAAGTGCCTACATAAAAAAATTGAGATCTCATGCTCGCAACTTAATAGCACATCTGAAAGTTCTAGAACAAAAAGAAGAAATCCTACCCAAAACGAGTAGAAGGCAAGAAATAAACTCAGGGCTGAAATTAATAAAATAGAAACAAAAAAAGGAGCAGCATCAGAGGTAGGTTCGAGCTACAGGCACTGAGCAGTGCCAGTGAGAGGCCCAAATCCCAGCCCAGAAGCAGCGTCAGAGGAAGTCCCGAGCTTCAGGCCTGGAGCAGTGTCAAGGGAACCAAGAGCCTCAGAACCGGGAGCAGCATCAGAGCCCAGAAGCTGCATCAGTGAGAGGCCCGAGCTTCAGGCCCAGGCCTGGAGCAGCATCAAGGGAGCCATGAACCTCAGAACTAGGAGCAGTGTCAGAGGGAGACCTCACTCTCAGTCACAGAAGGGAGGAGTGATCACCGGGTGAAGCAACAGCAGCACTTTCCAGCAGTAGCTTCCAGAAACCATTATCAAAAGTTCCTCTGGGGGGGGGGGCTGGAGAGATGGCTCAGAGGTTAAGAGCGCTGACTGCTCTTCCAGAGGTCCTGAGTTCAATTCCCAGCAACCACATGGTGGCTCACAACCATCCGTTATGAGATCTGGTGCCCTCTTCTGGTGTGCAGATATACATGGAAGCAGAATGTTGTACACATAATAAATAAAATCTTTTTTTTAAAATGTTCCTCTGGGAAAAAGCACCTGTGTCCCAGCCAGCATCCACTGCCATTTCTCGGTGGGAGATACCCAGCTATTACATCGACTCAGCCCCATGGAAGGAGCATCCACCAGACCTGTAGCCCCACCTGCACCTCAAGTGAGCATTGGGCCCACTTCCACCAGGAGGAGAGTTCACCATTAGCTCTGCTCTACTTGTGCCTGAAGGAGTGATCAAGGGAGCCACAGCCCCCAACTATACCAATTAGAGAAAGAGAGAACCCTGAAGCACAAGCTCCACATATACCGATTAGAGGAAGAGATGTTTAGACAACAAGGTATGAACACACTGAACAATATAAAGAGCAATAAGGCACCACTAGAAACTAGTGGTGCTATAGCAGCAAGACCTGAACATCCCAACACAGATGAAGGAGAAGAAAACAACCTAAAAAATAACTTTATGAGGATGATTGAGGCCTTTAAAGAGGAAATGAAAAATTCTCTTAGAGAAATGGAGGAAAGACAAATGAAATATTGGAAGATATCAACAAATGCCTTAAAGAAAATCAAGAAAAAGCAATCAAACAAGTGACAGAAATGATTCAAGACTTGAAATCTGAAATACAGGCAATAAAGAAAACACAAATAGAAGGAATTCTGGAAATGGAAAATCTGGGTAAATGATCAGAAACCACAAATGCAAGCATAAACAACAGAATGCAAGAGATGGAAGAGAGAATTTCAGTCACTGAAGATATGATAGAGGAAATAGATTCACTGATCAAAGAAAAATTTAAATCCAACAGATCCTTAACACAAAACATGCAGGAAATCTGGGACACTGTGAAAAGACCGAACCTAAGAATAATAGGGATAGAAGAAGGACAAGAAGTAGAACTCAAAGGCACAGAAAATATATTCAACAAAATCATAGAAGAAAACTTTCCCAGCCTAAAGAAAGACATACCTATGAAAATACAAGAAGCTTACAGAACACCAAATAGACTGGACCACAAAAAAGTTCCCTCATCACATAATAATCAAAAAATAATAATACAAAAAATCAATGAAACAAAGAATTGGTTCTTTTATAAAATGAATAAGATAGACAAACCCTTATCAAATTAACTAAAAGGCAGAAAAAGACTATCCAAATTAACAAAATTAGAAATGAAAAGGGGGACATAACAACAGATACTAATGAAATCCAGAGAATCATAAGGACATAATTTAAAAATATGTACTACATCAAATTGGAAAATCTAAAAGAAATGGATAAATTTTTCTATAGGAACCACTTACTGTATTGTGGGATATTCACCAGAGAAGATTGCTCAGACATGGGGTTAAGACAATAGAAAATCTTTATTAGTTGGTTGGCATCTACACTGGGTGTTTCGGATCTCAGTGTAGCCCCAAGATTTTCTCAGGATGAGGTTTTAAGACCAAAAAAATGTTCTGGGTTGACATACTTCAGTTAATAAGAACAGTTAGCCAGAAGCAGAACTGCAGAAACTAAAAAGCAAGGTTAATACATGTTGACACTTTATCTGAATTATATGGACTTTGATGTATTAATTGGGCCTTAGCTTTAGTTTTGGCAGGTGGTGCTGTCTACATTCTGAGTTTTACAGCCTGAATAGTACTTCCATCATGAAAGTTAGTTGTCCTAAGGTCTCAGGGCCTATTAAGGTCTGGGGACCTGTTACATTACCAAAGTTAAATCAAGATCAGATAAGCAATTTAAACATACCTATAACCTTTAGTGAAATAGAAATAGTAATTAGAAGGCTCCCAATTAAAAAAAAAAAGCCCAGGGCCAGACAGTTTTAGTGCAGAATTCTAGCAGACTTTCAAAGAAGAGTTAACTCCAATATTCCTCAAATCATTCCACAAAATAGAAACAAAGAACACTGCTCAATTCATTTTATGAGACCACAGTTACTCTGATATCCAAACAACATAAAGACCCAACAAATAAAGAGAATTACAGACTGATTT